CATTCCTGCTGCCACGCTTCCTACACGGCAATTTGCACACTGTGCCCCCTTTGTGTGTCCTCTGCACAGTATGGGCTCTGTCCAGAGCTGTCTGAGGCACACCAGGTCTGCAAAGGGGAGGTGGGCAGGCCTGGGGCTGGCGAAGGCTGCTGGAAACCAGGCAAAGCAACGGGGACGTAGAATGTGGACAAAGGGTTAGAATGTGCTGTGAGGAAATGCCTGGCTCCAAGGAGCTTAAAACAGCTTTGTTTCAGGTTATTACTCCTCAGGACTTTGTGTCAGAGACTGAAGAAAAATAAAGCGCTAAGAGGCAGGAAATTGAATTTCAACCGCTTTTCCATTTCTCTGTGATTGTCATCTGCTAAATGTTCCCATTTATTTCTTGCATGAGTCACTTGGGCCGGACTTATCACAGTTCTCAGGTGGAAATTGGTCCCTCGTTGTTCCTCGCATGTGGGGTTTTTCTCTCCTAGCTAGACTCCAAGCTACTCCCCATCAAGGCCTAGGGCTTTGCAATTCCCACAGGACTTCCTGCCATAGTGATGGGCACGCGGTGGGCGCTTAATAAATATTTAACAACTGTTTCCTACTGATCAGCATCACAATTCTAGACTCACTTTGTGCTAAAGCCCCATCAGGGCATGAAAGCCCTCGTTTTACTCCTGAGAAGGCAAAAGAGCAGAGAAAAAATGACTCCCGAGGTTTTACACCATGAATGTCAGAGCCAGGCCTCAATCTTTGAAAGCAAAATCCCACCGATCTATCTGTCCTCTGTCGGCCTGTCTATCTATCTGTCCATCCAGCCATCCAGAATGGAGACAGAAAATATTATGCTAACAACCTATAGGCTGAAGTTAGTGAAATGTGAAGTAGTATTAGCCTATTGCTGGAGGGGGTCTTACCATTTTCATGGCAATTTTTTAAATATATTTTATTGATTTTGTACAGAAAGGAAGGGAGAGAGATAGAGAGTTAGAAACATCGATGAGAGAGAGTCATCGATCAGCTGCCTCTTGCACACCCCCTACTGGGGATATGCCCTCAAACAAGGTACATGCCCTTGACCAGAATCGAACCTGGGACCTTTCAGTTCCCAAGCCAACGCTCTATCCATTGAGCCAAACCGGTTTCGGCTCATGGCAATTTTTTTAAAGGACATTTTAACTGGTATATCCTTAGCTTATTACATGAGTTACCTAAACATTTTCATACATTCATGTAATTATAGAAGTATAACTTTTTTCTAGCAGGACTCATTTTTACTCTGACAAGACAATTCATAATGGATTGTCTTGTCAGAGTAAAAATGGGTGTCTTTGTAGATGAAGAACTAAAAGTAAGATGCAAATTAATACCTAGCAAATGAGATAAATCTCTCTCTTATTGTTCTGACTAACATCAACTCAAAGTGAAGTTTAAACTGCTCAGTTACATGCATATTCATTTTCAAAGATTAGCCTATAAAAAGAACTCCAACAAGCACTCATTGGGTGCATCACATGGTTCTGACTGGCCCTCTAATTCTGCTATTAACTAGCTAGGGCCCCACACTTTTGATTGCCAACCTTGTGCCAGGAACCTCAAAATACACTTTGCATAGGTGGTTTCATTTCATCCTCATGACAATCTTAGGATATACAAATGAGGACTCTGAGAGGAAGTCATTAGTTTGCTCAAAATCACAGAGCCAGTAAATGGCTGAGATTTGACCCAGATATAGTATTAGTGATTCTAAAGCCCATACTTTGCCAGAACTTCTCAAACGTAGGTAATGTTAGTACCACCTATGGAGCTTTTGTATAATAGCTGCCCCCCGCCAACCCCTGGGTCCCCCTCAGACCAAGGAATTCAGAATACCTGGGAGCAGAACCTGGATTTTTAAAAATCTCCCAAGGTCATTATCATACACACCAGGTTTAAGAGTCACTGTCCTAGGAGAGCTAAGCTTCAGTTTCTTCAACTGCAAGGTGAGGAATAGATGGACCTCTCTAAGTCCTTTCTACTTCTAAAGTCACCAGAGCCATGATGACAGTAGTATAGGGCCAATTGCTACTTTCATGTGGAGTAAGCGGTTGTCATCCCCACTGCCAGATGCTCTCCCAACTTTCTATGTAAGTGTCATGTGTAGGGGTAAGGCTCAGTCTAAAGCATACAATTATTTCATTTATTTATGAAAATTTATATTCAGAACAAGGCCTTAAGGCCCTAGAAGATTTCCCATGCCATCCTTCTCTCTTTCTGTCATCTTTTCAGGTCAACCATCATTATTTGGTGAAATCCTATTGCTCCAAACTATTTTAGTGCTACCCTCTTCATCAATGGTCCCCAGCCTTTTGGACCTCATGGACCAACAGTGGTCCATGGACCACCGGTTGGCATCCACTGCTCTACATCATCACATCAAAAAGTCTTTAGAAAATGTTTATAACCCTTGACCCAGAATTCCCCTTATAGAAAAGTATCCTAAGGAAGCAAAGAGAAAGCAGGAAAAGTGTTATGAAAAGAGAAGTTCATTGCAGTATTATTTATTACAGTGGAAAATTGAAAACCACTCATATGGCCAACAGTAGGGGAATGATTTAGTAAAATATGTTATAGCCTTCAAAACTGAGAAATGGCTATTACAAATGACATTTACTTATACTTTTAAATGCTATGGGAACATAGTAACACGTGTTATAATGCCGGAAAGAAATAGAGAGTACAAAATTACATAGAGTTAGTCTATGACTTAAATTACATAGAGTTGAATAATCTTAACTATGTACTTATTTTAATATATATAGAAAAAATACTATTATGCAAAAGTTAAAATATCTAAAATTAGTTTCACCCTCAACCAAATTCTAAATGTTTGAAGAACAGAGTATAAAAGTGGTTGTGAAATGGGCCCCATCCAGAGAAATCTTATATCTGGCCTGGGCCTCCAAACCTGCATAGACAAGGAGTTATAAACAGCTGAGTAGAAACATGAAACTGTAGGTCAAGTGGTTCTTTTAGGTGTGGGAAGCAAAGATAAATTTAAAATTGGAGTCGCTAAAAGGAAAGACAAACTAAGAAAACCCAAAGGCCAAAATCAACTCTAGGAAGGCCTCAAGAAGGAAATGGGATTGACAGTGAGTTACTTTATGGCAAGCAAGGTTGCCATTTTCAACATGCTCTCATATTTGATGCCTCACATCCTACCCTGGGAGGTGGGTAGGAAGCTCATTGTCGGTATTGGTCCCATTTCACAGGACAGGAATGAGCCTGGAAGGCCGAGGGTCTCACTTGATGTGATGATTGTGGCCCACACCCAAGCCTCCTTCTCTCCTGCCACTGCCCCACCAAGCCTGAAGATGACAGCTTTGGATGAGGTGGTACCTCTGCTGGCCGGGTATGTTCAAAGTTACAGACTGTCCATGCAAGTGACAGACCACATGTTCAAGGAACACGCAACCAGGGAAGCAGCTCATGTATGTTTAGCAGCCTGAAGCCATAGCACCTAAGGCAGGTTGTCTCAGGGACACATGCCCTTGTTCAGGGATCCCTGGATGCTGATCAGGGCTTTGTGCCTGCGGCCAGGGCCCTCCTTGCACCCTGGGTCCCAGAGGGCCTCCCCACCCTGGAGCAGCCTTGGGCATTGGAGAGGAAGGGAGAGCTTAAGCCCCTCAGATCCCACGCAGCTCGCCCTCGAGCCTCGGCCTTGCCTGGTTCCTGTGCCCCTGAGCTTGGGTGTTTGGTGTTACCTGTCTTTCTTACAAATTAAACCTGTTCTTTTGCAAACAGCAGTTTGATCAGTGATCTGAGCAGCATCGGGAAGATTGCAGGCGGGCTCCAGGCTGTGGGGTGGGTAAGAGGCCACTCGTTCAGGAAGACAGGTGGTTCTAGAGTCGCTCTGGTGACTTGGGCTGAACCCCGGGTTCTGCCCTTGACTCTGAAGGTTCCTGAAGCTTCTTTAGGTCAAGTTTAATAACGAAAGGTGTGCTGGGCCACAGCTCAGTGACTATATGAATTTTGACCATCTGAAAGCTGTCTTACCCTTAAGAAGCTAAAACATTCAGTGATGAGAATGCACTTAGGAAGACTATGGCGATTCTCCTGTTAACTCCTGCCTCACTCTGCTTTTTTGAAATTCAAAACAGGCTCCCTTTTTGCTATTGTTAACTTTCAGAAACCCAAGCAAGCTATTCCAGCTTTTGTTTGAAATATAAGTTAATCAAATGTTGAGGGGTTTTTGTTGTTGTTGTTTTTTCAAATTTGAAAATCTCCTTGAAATTTGCACAAATGCCTTTCACCTCAACACCTATACTGTTCACACAGAAGCACAAAACTGTAATTCCTTTTCCTTCCCTAGGCTGCACTTCAGATGTCTGGCCTACACAGCAAAGTGTTTACCGTTAAACAGACTCCTATTAAAGAGCTAGTAAATGGTGCTCTCTAATAATGTGTCTCTTTGCATTTAAAGGGAAGGGCCAGTATATGTTGCCCAAACAATCAGCAATGGTAATATGCAAGGTACTAAAGTTTTCCTTCTCAGGATGTAACATTCTCTTCCGGACTGGGTTACTCTGGTGCTCAGTAGAGCTGTTTTCTCAGAACACGTATCCCATGTCATTTGAAGAAATGGTCAGGCAAAGAACAACTTTTTTTTTTTAATTATTATTATTGATTTCAGAGAGGAAGGGAAAGGAAGAGAGAGATAGAAACATCAATGATGAAAAGGAATCCTTGACTTGCTGCCTCCTACATGCCCCCTACTGGGGACCGAGCCTGCAACCCGAGCATGTGCCCTTGACAGGAATTGAACCTGAAACCCTTGAGTCCACAGCCTGATGCTCTATACACTGAGCCAAATGGGCAAGGGCGGCGAAGAACAACTTTACATTCTTTGTAAAACTGCCATAGACATTAATTACATTGATTAATATTAAAAACAAAACAACAAAAAACTTGCAGATAATTTCTACTTGGACTTCAGTGCTAGGATAAAGTCTGGCTGTGCTTTTTTTCTTTCTTTCTTTCTTTTTTTCTTTTCAATCAATGAAAACAGGAAAGCCACAGACCGCACTGTGCGGATCTTTTTGCCTCCGCTGCCAGGAGCCTCTGAGCTCTATTTTCTGCTCAGTATCTAACCTCTGAGCTCTATTTTCTGCTCAGTGTCTAGGATCCCTCCTGGTCTAGCATTAGATGAGTTCGCATTCTCTATCTCTTGTTTTCCCCAACCACCAGCAGAGTTTTCTTTCTCTGATTTACTTATCCCATCTTCGCTTAAAGTACCTTCACCTCCTTTCGTGAGCCCCCTCAAAACTTCCTGGAAGTGGGTGCATATAAAAATTAGTTATTCTAGATTCTCTAAAAATGTCTTAAGCAACATGTGCAATCATTTTTAGCTTTGGGTGACTTTCACTGGTAAGACTCCCAAAAGCCTACCCCAGAACTGTGCACAAGCACAGCGAACTAGGCTCTGCCTGCCTCTCTCTCCCCTCAAGAAAGTGCATGTAGTCTGATGTCTGACTGTGGTGAGTGAGTCACTCAGGAGCTGCAGGACTTTTTCATTAGTACTGACTCGCAGCACGTCCCGCGGCTGTGGGTGCCCCACCCAGCACCCGGACCCTTGGTGCAGGGCAGCTGCTCTGAGATGTGCTGGGACACCACAGCCGGTGAATCAGGCCGTCTGTTCCCTCCAGGAGCAGCACACGTTTCCTTCATTTCCAGTGTCCGGCGTGTCCCACTCATTGTTCAGCAAAGCCTAACATCTGTGCTTCCTTCCATACCGCAGGAAGGCTTTCTCATTTCCCCAGAATGTATTTGTTCAGTCAATCGTGTCTGCCGATGGTGAGGGAAATAGCGTTTGCAGTCACTCAAAAAGCAACTGGGAAAAACTCTTAGGGGGCTCTGAGGACCGTGAGAGGAAGGGCTGAGGGAGAAGAGGAAGACAGCAAACATTTCTTGAACCTCAGCCCCATGTCAGGCACTGGGCCAAGGACTTCCCTCATTTGTTGTAAGCCTTCCCAGCAGGCAGTTAAGGTGGACACCGTTACACCATCTTCCAGATGAGAAGACAGGCTCCGGAGAGCTGAAGGACTTGCTCACGTTACATCACTATGAAATGGTGGCTCCTGGATTCCAACCCAGTGTGATAGATGGTGGGCTCATTCCATGTTCGCCCTAAGTGCTGCTCACAGAGAGCAAAGCCGTTAATAGTCTCCCAGAAACTGAGCACACAGGGCCCTATAGCGTAGGCCTAATTCAGGGACTCTGAAACCAGGGTACCCGGGTTTAAATCCCAGCCCTGTCACTAGGGACATGATCTTGAGCAACTTACTTAACTTCACTGCACGCCTGTTTCGTACCTCCATAAAGTAGGGAAAGTTAAAAGGAACAAATTGGTTAATCCTGGGACATCATCAGTATTTAACAAGTAGGAACTCTCATTCTCCAGTTATATCCCAGTGTTGTGTTATTACAAGACAGGAAATGCTGCTTTCTTGCCCAAATGATGGTATTTTAATGTCTTTCACTTAGAAATCATTCATGTAGAAGAGTAGACCTGATGTTGGGATCATCTTTGGAACTTCCCAGGGGTATTAAAGAAAATACTGATGTTGTGTCCCCCTCTAGAGATTGTAATTCAATGGTTTGGGGAGTAGTCTAGGCATGGAGGGAAGAAACTCTTAGTGGTTCTCAAAGTGTGTTCCCTGGATCACAGCTCAGTATAGCCACAGGGCTTGCCCCACCCAGGCCTACTGAAGCAGATACTCGGGGAACACAGCTCAGCAAGGGAAGTCCTCTGAGTGACCTCATGTCCACGAAAGTCTAGTAAGAATCATTGCTCTGAGGGAAGGCGATGCTGAGAGATCTCTTTATCCTAAAAACAAGGCCTAAGGACTGAGGCGGCCCTGGAGCGCTCATCTATTCCCTTACTCTGAACAGTGAATCGCAAGCGTGCTAGTCTCCCCAGAGCACACAGTGTGCTGTGACTCTACCAGCCCATCCTGTCCAGCCCCAGCAGAGGCAGGTCCCCATCAGAAGTCTCTACAGCAAATGGTGAAGCACATCAAGCTTACATAGCCCGAGTTGTATATTTCACGATGAGGATCAGGAAACCATCAACCAAAATATTAAATTCCTCGAGCCCATGTTGTCCAGACCCCCGTGGCTACTCGCCCCACCTGCATCTCTTCACTCAGAGCAGCCCCAGGCAGACCGGCAGGCACTGAGACCGCCTCTCCTCGCTCTGCTGGGCACCGCAGGGTGGGCAGAGCTCTCCCATGCCCTAGTGCCTCTCCTCTTTCTCTGCTCCCACCATTTGGCTCCCTCTCCCATAATCATCGGCCTTTCTCTCCTACTGATACGCTTCAGGAAGTCTTAGTTGGGTCTTCCAGGCCACAGAGGCGCTCCGTCCCTTCTATGACTGCCTGACTGTGCTCTGAGCCCTGATGTGGCACTCTGACACTCTCACACGTGGGTAGCTAGTTCCCTCCTTTTCTGATAGAGCAACTCTTCCCAGCACTGCAATTACTCAGCACTCGTGTCTCAGAGAGCCACCATTAGTCTCTTTAGACACACTTGCTTTAGACATTTGCCTTCAATGTTTCTCCAACTTCTGTGGTACTTGTGGCCAGTTGTTTCTGAAACCTCACATCATGTCTCTTCCATCACCTGATTCAAGAGAAATGCCACTGTAACTTCTGGTGAAACCAATGCCAGCTATGTGTTGTGGGGTGTTGTGACTTTGCATAGGAAAAACACCCATGGTCTCCATGTGACCATGCTCCATGTGACCATCCCCTGGGAAACATACAGTGAAACAAAAGCAGCTCATTTCCTTCTCGATGACTCTGCCTCAGCTTTAAGCAAGTGGACAGAATCACCAAAGCAAGAGGAAAGAACAATGGGACAGCAGCAAATGCACAGGGAAGAAAGCAGATGCAAGGAGAGAGTGAGCTACAGGGAGGGAGTGAGGAGGGGGCAGAAAGGTAGACAAAGCCAAACAATCAAAAGTCTAGGCTGAGGAGAAGCCTCTCAGACAGGTATTAAACTTGGCCTTGGCAATGAAGGCAAAAAGGGAAACCTGACACATTCCATTGCTCCGGAGCAGGATGATAAGGGGGCCATTCCTATTGCGACAGAATGTCAGCTGAGGACTAGGGATATTATGTGGCCCCTGCACATTCTAAGGAGGGAGCCACACAGAGCTTGCTAAGCAGTGATCAACAAAACCCAGCCCACGGTCTGATCGATTTTTCTCTGCCTCTGGATTTGTTTTTGTTCATCAGTTTATGTTGTTCATTATATTCCATAAATGAGTGAGATCATGTGATATTTGTCTTTCTCTGACTGGCTTATTTCACTTAGCACCATGCTCTCCAGTTCCATGCTGTTGCAAATGGTAAGAAATAAGGACACATATGTCATAACTCAATCAATAAAGACATTAAAAATAAATAAATAAATAAATCCCAACCCAGTGACCGTGCACCCATCACCTGCCACAGGGCATAGAGAGGAGGGGAGGAGGAGGAGGAGAAGGAGGGGAGGAGGAGGAGGAGGAGGAGGAGGAGGAGGAGGAGGAGGAGGAAGAAGAAAGCGGGACTTCTTTGAGGAGAGCTGTCAATGTGCTGAGAATGTGAGTCTTCACCTCAGGCCAAGTGGGGGGAGCTTCCAGCGAATCACTAGTACCAGGTGGGATATCTCCCAGGAGGAGAGGAGCATCTCAACCTCCCAGCTGGTCAAAGCTGTGGCAACTGGTCCCACGCCATCGCAGGACAGACAGAATGTGGAGAGAGGCTTCTTAGGAGGGCTTGACCTGTGTCCCTGGGAACTGAGGGGAACAGAGGCCGGATCCAGACTCTAATGAGGTCTGCAATGTGACCTGAAATGCTCCAACATAGCCAGGGTGATGCCGTGAGTGTCTGCTCCCCGTGCTCCAGAGGCAGCTGCCTCTCACAAACCATCCAAAGGCAGAAGTGGGCTAGGATGGTTCAGAACACGGAAACTTACCTGGGAAAATCCAAAGGTGGGACTCGGGCTGGAGCGGCCTGGGATGGGAGAGTGAAGAGGCTGGGTGAGCGGGGCGGGCACCGGCAGTGCTTTGCAGAGCAAAGAGGTACCTCCATTGAGGATCAAATGGAGGCTGTGGAAGTTGTCTCCATGAAAGAGGCCCTACCCAAGAAGATGGAGTTAGGTGCTCCTCACAGAGAGTTGGCTTTTTTACAGAGAGTTGGAAGCACTACAGGAAGAGCTCTCAGGAGGCAGGGACACCTTGGTAGACAACTGTGAGGTTGGAGATCTCCCAAATCCTCCATGAGCTAGGAGCTATCACTGGGACATCTACCGGACTCGGAGTCGGTCTCATCTGCCCCTTCCCTCCCCACCTTGGAGGAGCCAGAACCCGCAAAGTGAGTGCAGCAGAGTGGGAGAATCAGGTAGGAAACTGGTCAAGAAGCTGACCACCTGTCTCCCCAGTCACCTGCTGCTCTTCTGCACAGTGCAGAGTCTCGTTCAGGCCCAAACGAGGGTGGGAGAAGCTATGTATTCTATGAGAGGTGAAAGCTTTGTTGTGAGACTAGACTGGACTTTCCATACCTAATAACGAGATGTTTATTAATCCCTGGAAGTGGCCAGAAAAGCTTTAGGATAGCCGAGCATTTCACCTCCAGAAGTAGAAGCATAATCCAGCAGAGGGAGCTTAAGAGGTAGGTGATGAGAGAGAAATGAAGTGGTTTCGTTTTTAAATCCAACCGAGTCCAAAACTGCTCAGTATCTACAACTTCTGTTACTGAACGAAAGGGACTTGGTATTTGCACTGAAACTTTCAGAATTATTCCTTGTTATATCTTATTAAGTGGAAATCGAAGGGTGGCACATTAGTTACCAAGCACATTCTTGAAGACTACAAACTAAAGAGCAGTGAGGTGGAAAAGTAAGGTGACATGAATGAGTTACCTCGTGCTACCATAATAATACATCACCACAAGTTTATTAGAGCACAGCCTTGTGGGTCAGAAGTCCAGCGTGATTTCAGGGGGCTAAAATGAAGGTGTCAGCAGGGCGTCTCTCCCTCTGGAGGCCCTGGGAAGAACCCTGTTTCCTTACTGTCCCAGCTTCTAGAGCCCTCCTGTGTGCCTCGAATCGAGGCCCCTGCTCCAGCTCAGAGCCCTTGATCTCTCTGCCTCTCCTGCCTCCATCTTTCACTCACAAGGACCCTTGTGTCTGCATAGGACTCACCCAGATAATCCAGTGTAATCCCATTAACCTCAAGCTCCTTCACTTACTTTACCTGCAGCCCTTTTCGCCATGCAGAGTGATATAGTCACAGATTCCGGGGATCGGAGGTGGCATGGGCAGCGGGGGTGGCATTATTCTGCCTGCCCCAGACAGGCCCACGCCCAAGGGCTGGGCCTGTGGCTCACCTTTCAGAGAAGCCCCTGGCCCTTGCTGACTGGAGCCAGGTGTACCTGGGGTCTCGAGGAAAGAGGTGCTGTCTGATCTTAGGGAAAGCACATCACCTATTCATACCTGTTTCTCCATCTGTGAAATTACAGGATTGGCTGTTCGCTGAGGTGTCTTCCAAATCTAAATCCCAGGTGCCCTTTCTCTTTGGCAAAATAAACATTTGAAAAAGTCTGGCTGCTGAACTCAAGAAATCAAACTGGCTTCTGGTCACATGGCCAGCCTCCAGCCCCGCCCTGGGCCAGAGGCTCTGACAGCCGCAGGGAGGAAGGCAGGAAGCCCTCTGCTTTTCCAGAGGTGGGGGAGTCCACAGAAGGCACAGGTGTGTGGTTCCCCTGTGAGAAGTCTCTCCACGCAGGGCAATCACCATGGAAGGCCTTGGGCGGTGGTGCCAATCTCAGACACAGCTACTGAGTCAGCACAGCCTGAGTGGTCCAGGGAAACTCCAGTGGGATGAGTAACTGCACCCCGACCCCAGCCCGCCCCTGGGCCTGCTCCTCCAGGTCGGCACACAGACCGATGCCCTCTGATCTCCTTGGAGCCTCAGGCTCTTAGAACAAACATTAGGTCATAGAACATGAAATGGAAGGCGCCTCGGATACCGTGTCACAGCTGCCCTTCCCATCATGTGACCTCGAACTGGCTGTATGTTTTGTTGGTCCCGCTGTTCTGATACATCGCCCTGTTTCGGTGGCTTAGTTCCTTCTCTGGTCTGGCCTTAACATTAAGGTACACTTTCCACCTCAGCCAAATGACCTCGGAGAGACAGCCAGCTGCTCAGGAGGCACCTATCCCTTCCATTTTCCAGGTCATGTCATCTGCCAGCAAGCATAAACCGGGACTCCCTGTTCCTGTCCTCTGGGCAGCCACGGGCATTCAGCCAGTCACACCATCCTGTTGGGCAACGTGTGACTCTATTTCCTCCAAAGTCCCTCCAGTGCCAACACGAGGGGTTCGGAGTGGGTCGCCCTCAGAGTCCTCCTCGGTTCTGAAAGCCCATCTTCCTCAGTCCCAGAGCTCCAGAGGTCTGAATCTGGCTCAGCCTGGGGAAAGCCCTCCTTGGATCAGCTCTGACCTGTGGTTGCCACGGCCGTGTGTGGGATCACTTCCCAGGGAGGCACCGGATCTCCAGTCTCCGGGAGGCCCAGGCACTCTGCCTGAACAGGCTTCCCAGTCCCTCCTCCCAACCTAAACTAGACAGTCA